CTGGAAAATGATTCCTTAAAAAGAAAGCCTATTACCTATTCTAGGCTGTGACCTATTATACCATTATGGTCACAGTATGATTTTCCCGTGTGTAATCACAATTAGCTGTGGGTGCCCAGGTTGAATTGTGATCTATGGTCAATGCTGAAACAAGTTGATGGAAGTAAGTGTACTGGATATCTGAGTATTGTGAATCATAAGATACAAGTGGCAGATGTGATTATGCTATAGATGCTGGTGGTGTTATGAAGACTGGGGGAAAACAGCTGGACGACTGGAGAGGGAGTGACAGGAGAGCAGGCAGACATGATGAATGGCAGAAAACATGAAAAATAACTAAGATGGTGCTGTTGTCATGACAACACTAGATGCTACATCATCTTTGCTGTTGTTTAATGGAAAGTTACAGACTGCAATGTTGCACCAGCACATGTAGTCATATCTATTTAGCCTTTACATGTTGCTACCTACAGTGAGTAAATCTGAACACAGACTTTTGAGCAACAGAGATATGGTTGTGGATCAAACACACGTGGGAGCATACACATACATAGCAGCACATTTGATCTGGTTAACATTTTGGCATTGAGTGTAATTTAGACGAAATTCATGGTTGTCTCTGTTTTTCTACTGAGGCAAATATCTCTGGGGGAGGAGAGTTCCCTCGGGGAGTAATTACAACCAACTGTATAAGATGCTCTCGTTTGCACACACATGCACACTGCTCTGCTTCTCATTCGATATTAAAGCAAACAGCCAAAATGAAAACACCCCATAGAGCGGGAAGCAAAGAGAGGGGAGGGTTTTGCTGATGTAAACAGGCGCTGGTTTCTCTCCCACTGAGCGCAAAAGCTCCTGTGCTACTGTTGCCTATCCCACTAGTTGTTCAACATCTGAATCGTCTGCGTACAGAATTTGTAAGGGTTAACATTTTCGTGGTTATCTCAATAGTTCTAAAGTAGAACTACACATTATACAAGTTACCAAAGCTCCTCTCACTGTGGAACCAGCCCTTCACAGTTGTGGTTCGAGAGCAGACACCCTCTCCAACCAAGTCTCTCTCTAGAGTAGGCTAAGACGTTTCCTCTTTTGATAAAGCTTATATGTTACGGGCTGATCAGTTGAGGTCCTGGAACCATCCCTTAGTTATGCTGCTATAGGCTGTCCTGTCTGTCTGTCGTGTCTCTCAACTGTCAAAGAACAGAATCCGTACCACCTAGAGCCAAGGGTCTGTCTAGGTTTCTACCTGTTAAAAGGCAGTTTTTCTTGCCGTCGACAGTTGCTTGTGCGTTGGGATCTCTGTAAATGTTAAGGGAGTTCGGGTCTAGACCCTGCTCTATTTGAAAAGTGTCCTGACATAACTTCTGTTATGAATTGGCGCTATACAAATAAAATTGAATTGAAAACAAACAACAAACAGTAGGTCACCTATACAAAATGAAGAATTAGACAGTTACACAACTGGCAATTATTAAAGTCACATTGAAGTGTACAATCACATACATCTGTACAAAGCATGCCATTAAAACAGATCAGACCATGTACAGGGGTTGTTTCAGTTCGGGATATTAGGAAAGGTCAACTTATTTGCGTACTCAAAAAATGGCCCTGAGATTTTAGTCTCTGAAGCAAGGGTCTGCATAGTCTCGGGGTCTTCTTGTTCCAGATAAATTCAGCTATTAATTTATCAATCTTGGAAAAAAGAATTCTGTGGAAGAAAGATGGGTAGACATTGGAATAAATAGGAAAACTTTGGAAGGGTGTTCATTTTGATAGAGTTGACGCGGGCTGCGAGGGATACATTTCATAAAGTCCAGCGCTCAAAGTCATTTTGCATCTTAGTAACAAACGGGAGAATGTTAGACTTAAATAAGTCCTCGAACTGAGCTGTGACCCGAATACCTAAGTACACAAAACTATCTGAAGCAACCTTGAATGGAAAGTTGTGCAGTGGGGAGCGCTTTGCTGCCGGATTCAAGGGAAAAATCTCACTTTTGGTCAGATTAAGTTTGTAGCCAGACACATGGCCAAAAGAGGTAAATGTGTCTAAAATAGTCGGGATTGAGATCGAGGGGTCTGAAATGTACACTAAAAGATCATCTGCGTAAAGCGAGACAGTATGCTCAACACCATACCTGAGTATGCGTTTGATGCGGGGGTGTGACCGAGGGCTACAGCAAGAGGTTCAATTGCAATAGCGAACAGAAGGGGACTCAGAGGACAGCCTTGCCGGGTGGAGCGGTGGAGAGGAAACTGATCAGAGAGTATGTTATTGGTTCTAACGGATGCTGTGGGTGAAGTGTATAACAGTCTCACCCAGGAAATAAACTTATTGCCAAAACCAAACTTCTGTAGGGTATAGAAAAGATAATCCCACTCTGCCCGGTCAAAAGCCTTCTCTGCATCCAGCGAAATTAAGACTTCTGGCGTGCATGATGAGGAGGAATTTTATAGGATGTTAAAAAGTCGCCTGAGATTAGAAAAAGAATATCTACCACGAATAAGTCCTGTCTGGTCCGGAGAGATGATGGAGGGAAGAACTGATTCAAGGCGCATGGCAAGGAGTTTAGGGTCCGCAGACAACAAATTTATGGGTCAATAACTTGTGGCCAGTAGGGGGTCCATAGCCTGCATTAGAGTCGGTGGAAGTTTAGATAACAAAAAAGATTTATTAAACATGTCAATTAACATTGGGGCTAATTTGTCAAAACATTTTCTATAAAATTCTATTGGAAATCTATCTGGACCTGGACATTTCCCCGCTTGCATGGAAAAAACTGCTTGTCTAAGTTCAGCAATAGTGATCGGTTCTTCCAAAGTCTTAACAGACTCAGGATCCACTCTAGGAATATTAAGAGAGCTAAAGAAGTGGTCGAGGGCAGGAGAGTCAGTCACATGTTCAGAAGAATATAAAGACATAGAATTGTTTGAAGTGTTCATTAATTAAATATTAATTAATTCTGATGTAACACCTGATGAAGTTCTAATTTGTGGGATTAGGTGAGAGGATGCTGCCTGTCGTAAAGAGTGAGAAAGTAGTCGGCTTGCTTTATCCCCATGCTCATAGTACGTGGATCTGCATTTCAGCAGGAGGTCTTCAACCTGAGCAGAAGCGAGATCATATTCTGCTTTTGATGAAAGCCATTCTTTAAAAATATCAGGTGATGGGGAGGTAGCGTAGATGTTGTCAAGCTGAACTATCTGTTGCTTCACTTCAGACATTTTTTTCCTCCTAAGCTTCCTTTCATAGCTTGAAAACGCAATAATTTCCCCCCTTAAATAGGCCTTCAGAGCCTCCCAAATCACAGACATGGAGACATCAGGAGTTTTATTTAGTGACAGAAAATAGTCTATTTGTTGTGAGATAAAACTCACAAAATTTTCATTGGATAGCAACCGTGTGTTAAGACGCCAAGGGGGACGCTCAGCATTGTAGCCCTCAAATTGAAATTCCAAAATAACAGGAGCATGATCTGAAATTACAATAGCATCATAAGAGCAGGAATGTACTGTTGATAAGAGATGATCCAACAGAAAGTAGTCAATCCGTGTAAAGGTGTGATGCACATTGGAAAAGAAGGAATATGCTCTCCCTGAAGGGTTAAAAGGCACCAGGGATCTGACATGGAAAATTCATCCATAAAGGATTGAATGACTTTGGCTGATTTTGAAGTTGCTACGTTTCTAGTGGAGGAACGGTCTAATGTTGGGTTGATGCAACAGTTAAAGTCACCTCCAAGTATGGGTAGGTACGAGGGCGTGTTGGTTAATTTAGAAAATACTAACTGGAAAAAGGCCTCATTGTCCCAGTTAGGACCATAAATATTAATGAGAGCAACAGTATTACACAACTGGCCAGTAACAATTCTATATCTTCCGTTAGTGTCGGAGACTATATCAGAACAAGTAAAATCGACTGACTTTCGAATCAGGATTGCAACACCTCTAGCTTTATCCTGGAAAGATGAATGAAACATTTGAACAACCCACCTACTACGCAGCTTAGCATGATCTGATACTTTTAAATGAGTCTCCTGAAGATAGACAACATCTCCTCCTAAGTGTTGAAGATGATGGAGTACTTTGCTACGCTTAATCAGATGGTTAAGACCCCTACAATTCCAATTTATAAATCTTAACCTCCTCCCGGACTGACAGAACTGGCTATTCTGAGCCATAGCACGTACTGATCTTAAAGTAAATGTGTGTACAGGTGTACACAGTGACAAATGGATAGCCATTACAAAAGTTAAAGTGTTGATGACCTAATGATACAAACATGACATGACAACAGAACGGAACAAGTAACCAGGAACAAGAGAACGACCCCTCCCACACCCCCCCACCTCCCTTTGCATAAGCGTCTCCCCAAACGAGACGCGCGCTGGTCCCATCTTCAACCTAAACTCTCTGCTAAACCTAAACTAAAGCTCTGTCAGAGATATGGGACATACCACTGGGTTATTCGCTTAGACTAAAGAGCGACAATATTTGAAAGGAAAACACTGTACGTTGTATCATTGCTGATACCAGAATAGGAAAAAAATAAATAAATAAATAAAATATAGAATTAAAACATATAAGTAATACAAATAAATAAATTAACTACCAAATAGAAAATAAATAAAATGAAAGTGGCGCTATACCTTAGACCACAGCATCTGGGGTAACGGACTTCTTAATACTTGCATTGACAAAGTCCATGGCTGAGTCCGGATCATCAAATGTATGCGTTTCGCCTTGTAGGGTTATTTTCAGGAAGGCCAGGAAAAGAAGTCCAAACTTAGTACCGGCGCAGGAGTGGAGCTGCTGCTTCACCCCTGCAAAGGCAGCATGTTTCTTTGAGACGGATGCGGTGTAATTGGGAAAGATGAAAAGCTTTTTCCCCTCGTAGAGAAGTGGGGAGGCCCGGGACATCTCACCCGCATGCTGCGAAATTTCATTACGGACATGGAAGTAGTGGATCCTGATGATGAATGGACGGGGCGCTTCTCCGACTTTCGGTTTCGCACGGAAGGTGAGGTGAGCTCGGTCAAGCAGTGGCATCTCATCCAGCTTCAGCATGTCCTTTAGGAGCTGTGCAATAAAGTTGGTCGGTCGAGGGCCCTCCACGCCTTCCGGGACACCAATCAAACGGATGTTATTTCTCCTCGACCTCCCCACTAGGTCCTCGCATTTGTCATTCAGTAGTTTCACCTGGGCTTGGCGAGCATTCACTCGAGCTGGTCCCAGTCGGGAAAGTTAGCATCTAGCTTTGGTGGGGAGCCTGGGTCAGTCGAGGGCCAGGCCTTAGCGCGGCCTCATCGTGATGACTCTGTCTTCAGGCGAGTAGAAGCCATAGTCGACTCAGGAGTGCAAAAGGTGTTCCAAAATCAAATCAGGGAAAATTAACTTAAAGTTATCAACAAGTATCCATTAATAAAAAACGCTCAAAATTACGAAAATAGTCACAAACACCAGGAGCAACGGAGAAACCCGTCTCACATCGTTAAGCCCAAGCCACACTGGACCTTTAACCTAATATAATAATATAATAAAACATTAACAAATGCGCTATAAATAGCCATAGCTATGCATAATGACTGCTGGTTTTGGAGAACCACCTCGATGCGACACAGTTGGGGAAATCGCAGTACTTCTTTTGACAGGTCTAATGAGTGGGAGAGCACAATATGTAAACGGATGTTTAATTGTATTTCTACATCCATTTATGGAGTGGAAGAAATGTATGTCCTGTACCTACATCGTCTTCTTGTTAAGGTTCCCCAAGTTTAACCAGTCCGTGTCCGCCCCAGTTTTTCTAAGTTTTAACACTACTATAACATATCTGAAACGGAACTCTGCTACTTCCCAGCACTGTCCCGTTGTTTTTTTCCTCAGGATTGCGAAGACATGACCCGCCCTACTCTGACTCTGACAAAGGGTTTAACCTGAGCCAGGCCATACAACAATGATAGCAATCAGGCTTTTATCTATTTTTTTAAGCACATGTATCAGATTGGTTGATACCCAAAGTTCAGGTATCGGACTTGATATCAGGAAGTTGGTTTCAGAACATCTCTACTTTTTGATGAATAAGTAAATGAATAAATTAAATAATAATAATAATAATAAATAAATTTCCCCCATTTTAAGGAGTCAAGAAAAACAAATTTACTCATTCAATAATGACGATTTACTGTAACTAGTGAGTGAACAAAGAGTTCACTGTTGTTGTGAACACTCTTTGTGTAGTGTATATTATTGCATTTTCCCAAAAAAATGGCCAGTCGTCTCCTGATAACTACAGATAACTGCTGAGATAAGAGTGTATTGTTTTGTAATAAAGGTGTAATTTCCGCATAGCTGTGTGTGCATCCTGCATGGTGAATGTGTTTGTAGTGTTTAACAGACCCTCAGTGTCACACCATATAAACACACATTCCTTGTCTGAATTCTGTTCTGGACCTGAGCTTGCTGTTTTCACACACTGAACAGAAAAGGATTAACATGGTTAGATTTTTTTTAGCCAGAAATCAAGAATGAGTTAGCATTTTGTAATCACTCAGTCAATCATGTTAGCTGGAGTGTGTTTTTTTCCCCCTAATCACTCTGACTGATATCCATTTGCAGTCAACACCATGAAGCTATGTTAGCGGTGGCTATGAGCCGTTAGCTTGGTGTGTGACAGGTTGACCTGGTTCCTAATCTAATTTATACATAGAATACATACTAATAAATGTAGTATAACAACTACATCCAATAGGGTGTAGCACAAAATTCTAGACCCTGGACCCTCAGAGATGAGCCCATAGATCAGGCTCATCTCTGCATCCACAGCTATTCATTTTAGTGTCTTTGTGGGCCCTCCTCCCCCCTAGTCCTATGCTCCTGAAATCCAATGTAGTATGAACAAAACCATGTCTGCTGACCGAACAGCTGTTTGCGTCCATTTTACATTTTCATTTTCACCCTTTGTCAACACCAGCCACGTACCAAAAGCAACACATCAGCAGTGCCACATCAGCAGCTGCTGTCCACTGCATTGATGGATTTATAGAACTGTATACTCATTGTTTTTATGCCAAAATGGTCTCACAGTCTACCACTGTTACAGGTGTGTCTCTGTCAGACAGATAACCGAAAAAACACAGCTCTTGTCCTCTGTAGACAGGGTGTTGGAAAGTCTGTGCATTTCACTATATATATGAATCATTGACATCAAAAGGGTTAATCACTTGATAGCCATCAGCTTTTAGATTAGGAGGTGATGTGTAAGCAGAGTTAAATTCTTTTCCATGGAATTACAGGTGAGATTCAGGGTCAACCATGAGTCTCATTCAAGCGAACTTTAGTCCAGCCACTGTATTTGAGGTACCAGTGTTCAACATTAAGTTTTTTTCACTTGTCTGGTCAAGTAAATTTTCACTTGCTCCTGTACAAATAGTTTTTAGTGGTAATCAAATAACCAAAAAGTTTTTCGGATACTTAACATGTCTTTGAATAACATCCATCTGGACGGAATACATCCCGTTCCATCCATCTTGCTCTCAAAGTTGCAGCAAACAGTTGAAGTTTCTCCCACATCATCTAATGCTACCCAACTAAACTCCTGTTTCAAGGATAATTAAAATACTCTTGGCATAAACTCATAAACTTTGTCTTTACTCACTGCTGTTTTCTCATGAGAGTCCAATCGGTACTGTACATGTCCAACTCTCAACAGAAGGAAGCAAGATGGCTCACATAACTTCCATCATTAGCTCCAAAAGAAAACCAATGTGTGTGGGTGGCTGTAGCTTAGGAGGTAGAGCGAGTCATCCACTAATCAGAAGGTTGGCGGTTCAATCCCTGGCTCCTCCTGCTGTATGTTGAAGTGTCCTTGAGCAAGTTACTAAACCACAAATTGCTCCTGATGCTGTATGAATGTTAATGAATGAGTTTCTGTGTGTGATGACCTTTGCCATTACAGTAAAATTGTGTGTGAATTGGTAGTAGTGTAAAATCACTTTGTGTGACTAGAAAGGCACTATACAAGTACAGTCCATTTACAAAAAAATGTAAGTGAGTTACTAGAGTTATTAGCCAGACATTTCATTTTACTTTCCCAGGCAATCGGCCAATCCTTTCTGTTGAGCCCTGAGTACTTCTTGTTGGTTGGACAGAATTTTTTATCTGACAAGCCGAAAGGTCAGGGGGTTTAATTAGGAGGCAATGAATATCCAGGCCATATTTCATGGTAATCTTGCCAGTAGTCATCTAGATATCTTGCACTGGACTGAAGTGTTGAGTAGATGAGCAGCACAAACTGAACAACTGACCAACATCTCTGCGCCAGGTCTCGCCACTGGTGGACGTTTTTGCTCTGTGTGCTGTTTGCATGACCTTTCTTGTTGTGTACCTGAACTGAGCATGTGTCTTGAGTCCTGTAGCAGTAGTTGTAGTACTGAGTGTCTCTTCTTGTCTGTTGCTCTTTCTGCTGTCTCCCTGCTGCAGAAAAGGCCGGTGGGAGGAGTCAAACTCTGCCCAAGCCACTCCCTCAGAGTCAAGCTTCACCCCCTCAGCCTCAAGTCCCTTTTCCTCTTCGTCTGACAATATCACCTCCTCTACCACCACCACTGTCACCTCTCCCTCTGTACCATCTACTGACACATCCTTTACATCCACTGATGTTCCACCCATCTCTACATCCTCCATTCCCCCTGCCTCCTTTTCTGTCACCACCACCACCCCCACCACCACCACACTTCCCACCAAAAACATCAAGAAAAAGTTTGGCGACTTCTTTGCCTTCAAGAGGGCTCGAGCCAGCCGAGCTGCCAAGGCAGGAGGGGGAGATGGAGGAGGAGAGGGCGTGAAGGTCAAAAGGACCTCCATTGCAGACCTCATTCGACCCCTCCGCGAGGCCAAAGAAAGGGAGAGAGAGAGGGAGAGAGAGAAGGGGAGAGGGGCAAGGTCAGTGGAAGATGCTAACGTTTGTAATGATGCCGCCACCACAGAAGGAACCGTTGCCACCAGCCACCATCTTGCAGGCGATGTGAGGGGAACGATGGCGTCTGCCAAGACATTAACCACGATGACGCCTCCCAGTGACACCACTCCCTCTTACCCCACTATCGCCACAAGCCCTGACCTCACCACCGCTATTTCCAACCTGGAAGAAGAGGCGGCTCCTGGCTTGCCAGGTCGCACCCCCAGTCCTGTGGTCTCTTCCCCTCTCACTGAGCAGGAGAGGAGCAGTGTGCTGATGAAGGAGATGAAGTTGGGAGGGACTCCATATGGAGAGAGGAGACTAAAGGTAACCAAGAGGTCGCTGAGGGAGGGCAAGAGCCAGAGTCTCATACTGCTGACTGGATTGGAGCCTGAAGACAAGGATGACACACACAGTAAGGTAAGTCTGACAATACACTCAACAAACCAGATCATCTAATAGGAGAAAGATGACCTGTGATAGGAACAAACAGCTAGTACTGTAAATTCTGAAATACTGCTGAGAAACAGGCGTGAACTGGAGACAGGCCTTTATTTCTAATTTCCTCTGTTTTGTAAGTGTATTTTATCATATTTAATTAAGGCTTCTCCCTTAATTGTATTGATACCATTTCCAAATGCCAAACTTAACACCTCCTCCATGTTTACCCGTTGTCATGGTAGATTCAGCACAATATGCATTTCCACTACACCTATACCACCAGTACAGCAACAATCATGTCACACTGCTACTCTCAGCCTCACTTTCACTTTTTAACACACATACTGTTGTCACTGCCTAACTTCATTCTATTCTACTTTGCTATTTTTTCATTTGGTGTTAATAAAACTTAACAGTTTCTGCACATAAACATTCACTGCGAAAACTCTTTTTTCTTTTACTAACAATAGATTAAAGGCCCTGCAAATCTACGGTACACCCACACAGATAACATTGTCTGTAATTTGACCTCACATATCAACGTAACATAAACCTCACTTGAACCACCTTTGTTAGTCTTTCCATAATTCCAACAATCAGCCACGTAGATGATAAAAATAGCAGTTTCAGTCGGAAAAACACATTCTGAAATCTCAAAAGCTATGTTTCGTTTTGGAATTTTAGTACTACTTATTAGTTGTAAATGGGCTGTACTGGCCTTAAGTCTCAGGGCAAAGACTGAGACTGAGGACTGAACAGGCCCTTAATCAGACTGAGAGATGAGATATGTAACAAGAGCCACGGACTTATCTTTTTACATTCATGCGATTGCATCTGTCAGCCGCAGCTGAAACCTTATGTGCTGGATTCTTCAGCTGGAGCTGAAAATTGTTTGTGCTAATCTTTTGATATTAGATAGATAGATGCATGTCCTTAACCAGCATGTCATGGAGGGGCTGGGAGACGAGGATGCTCTTCTCTGTCACTGCCAGTTCATCATTGAGCCTGTGTGTGCGTTCATCTTTATTCTTCTGAATGTTCATGTATCGTCTTCCAGAAACATGCGTCTGAGAACACATCTAGTTTTGAACAGAGGCTTCAGGTGATGCTACATAGAATGGGCGTGGCCAAAACGCCACCTGCTGACACCAAGACGAGCCAGGTAGGACGAGTGTGAGGGGTGTGACTGGTTCCTTTTTTCTTTTTTGATACAGATCATTAAAAAAGTGTGTTTATTTGTATTATGTGTGTGTGTATATTAGTGTTCGTGGAGGTTCCATGATCTAAAATGTTTTGTTCATTATTGTTATCAGTGATAACACCATGCTAGTGATGAAGTGACATCACTAAAAGGACGTCAGAAACACAAGCAGTAGAGCTTTGATCCGACCCAAAAAATCAGGCCTGACCTGACCCTGAAAAAGATTTGAGCATGCCCGAATCAAGCCTGAACCATGGAAGCAATTCTGGGCCCCAACCCGAATTTCCGCATTAACAGTTTATACAAGCAAACGTAAACTACATTATGTGTATAATATAGTACATTTTATTATCACTTAAAAACATGCATTATTAGTCAACTCTTATATATGTTTAAAAAACAAATCTTACTCTGAGCCCAACCCTACAGCAGCAACTTTGGGCCTGAACATATCCCGGTCGGTTCTACTCAGGTTTGGGCAGAGAGGCACATTTTGTTAGCAAGGAGGATAAGATCAGTCCTTGCAAGAGCAAGTTGTTAATGTTTAATGTTGTCCAATGTGTCTGTTGTAGAAAAAAGACGAGGAGCTGAGAAAGGCCAACTCTGAAGGTAAGCATGTGTGTTATTGTATACGGTGTGTCAATCACAGCAACATTAATCATTTTTTGTTTTAAGTAGATCATTTTACATCTCCCTCCAAATCTGAACTGTCAACACTTTTGGATTTGTGTATTTTATTTTATTTTACTATCTGCAGTAACACTGCAAATTCAAGTTAAAGGTCAAGTGTGTAACATTTAGTAGGATCTGGAATATAATATTGATAGGTATGTTTTCATTAGTGTATTATCACATAAAATAAGAATCTTTGTTTTTTTTTACCTCAGAATGAGCTGTTTATATCTACAGATGCCAGTGATGGAGACGCCTTCCATGGAGTCCAAGTGTTCATATTGTATTCATTACATGTACATTACATTCAAATAGCCCTTTGGCTGTACCACTGTCTACTGTCTCTGTCCCTCAGGTGCTATCCTGGACAAACCGGAACCACCTCCCACATACATGAAGCCCAGAACCATGTCCACATCATCAGGTATCAATCATGTCTACACCCATTTCTACATAAAGACCATATTGATACTCCCATGTGCAGAGTCAAAACAGTACTGAGTTGATTCTACTAACAAGCATTGTGTGTCTCAAAGCATGATCCGGTCTGGAGTTGGTCCCCAGGCACTGCACAGTGGCTGCCACTGCTCCTAGTACTTAGGATGGGTCAAATGCAGAGAATGAATTTTCCTCCAGGCATTTATAAAGGATAATTGAACTGAAATGTGAAACTTTGGGAGATTTGCATCTTCATTAGGAGCTAGTGAGCTAAGAGCCACAGAAAGAGTAGGGAAGTCATGAAGTATTGAGAGACACTAAATTGTTGCTTTTGGTCTTTTCATGGGATTTGCTGACAATATCAAAAATATAGAATAACATAATCCATTCACATTCTATTAGCAATAACTCATCTACATCAACCTGTTCATGGTTTCCATAAAAGCTGTATGACAATAGAACATTCAGGTCATATACTGGATTCAAAATAACGACAAAATGCTCTACTGTAATGCATATGATGTATTTTTGTGGTCCAACCAAGTCCTCTGACACAAAGCCAATGGGGTTGTTCTACACGGTTTTGGATTATTGTAGAAATTACACATTTTATACAAGATCATTTTCACAAATGAACACCACTTTTATGATTTTTGGAGGGGATTACTAGAATCTTCTACGTCACCACCACTAAACTTCCAACAAAGTTATAAACTTTGAGTTAGAATAGTTTTATGTAGTAGTAGTATGAAGACAAGAAGGCGGACTAGTGAGTACATAAGTCTGTGTTTTAATGTCACCAACAACCTGTAGTCTCATTTAGACACTTGTTAGCAACCACTTTTTTTAAAGACACGTAAAAGCTTCTAAATTCACTGTATGACATATGACGACATATTTTATGTCATAGAACAATCATGAAAATCTCTTGTGAAAAGCTTGTGTCAATCACTGACCTTATTTCAGAAATCTAACCAAAAATCCATTCAAAAAACACACTGACTTTGAGGAGAGGGAACCAGAGGTGCTAAAATGCTAACAAAGGTCCAGGTTTTAGGATTCATTCCTGCAGCACACATTGTAATGTACAATAGGCAAATCTGTTTCATGCTGTTAGTCACTGTTAGTTTAGTCACTGTAATTTACATACATGGTTGTCCTAGAATTACTAAAAGCAAAACGTGTAGGAAAGAGCCAGTGACATCATAAACATGGCCCCCAGCCTGAGCTGTGTGTGTAGCAGTCTGTGTGCAGCACAACCTTCCTCATGTCTGTGGGCCTGTGACGACAGAACACAGGAGGGTCTCTGCTGTGGTGCCACAGTTTATGTGTTTTAGTTTACATCTGCCTGAACATCTGTCCAACCGGGAGTCACTGATTGGACCAGCCAGAATCCTTCACAGAGTACGACTCCTTGTTATGTACTGCTGCTCTCACCCTCTGTTTCCAGCAGACCCTAGGCATCCAATGAGAGCACTGGACCCCATCCGAACCGATCCTCCCCTTCACCCGAAGCCCGCCCTCCCCGAGCGCCCCATTGGCCCCCTTCCACCCAAACCTGCCATCGCAGCCAAGCCTCCCTTCCCCACCCCGGCTGCTCCTGCAGGAGGAGGCATCTCAGTAGAGAGAGTCCAGCTCAGAGCACACACTCATGATGGCAGGCCGGGGGAGACTACAGCACAGGTAATCCAGCACTCCTTCAGTGCTGCTGGGAAGGTCACTCAGATGTAAGGCTTAACACCCAGTGGCAAAGCTGTCGTCTCATTTATTTACCTCAAAAGCTTGTTTTAAACGAATACCACTACTGAGAAAAACACTTTGAAGATGAATATGTGAGAATGTAATAAGTGTTAGATTTGTATCCGTGGGTGTGCACTTAGTTCATTGATACAATTATTCATATAGTTATATAACATATATATGTTCAATATTTCATATTGTTTATATAAAATAATAATAATAATAACAACAACATTAGGTACAGAGATTAATACAGACCACAAGGTGGCAGCAATGTTTAAAGCCAGTGTCACAGAGAAACGTTATGCAATCCAGGAGGTAACTAACATTAGAAATGTTATTTATTAATCACAGGACTGACTCAGAAGGAGTTGTTGTGGAAATTTGGGTGAATAAAAGAGAGATCGTTGTTATAAGTCTGTATAATCCCAGTAAAAAATACAATTGAAGAATTAAAAAAGGCTTTAACAAGAAACCACATTAATATGGTGTTGTGACTTTAATGCAACAGACTACAATGGAAAGACTAATGCAGTTAAAAAAGAATGCTTTTAAATTATGGGCATACTAAAATACACAATCAAGATGCATTATGGGAAGGGACACTGTAACACTCTGATATTCTTCTTACATTTTTCATTTTATTACATTATTAAAAACAGTCCACCACAACAACAATAATAATAATAATCATAATAATAATAACTGGATTTATATTGCACCTTTTAAAACGACTGTTACAAAGTGCTTCACAAAACAATGACAAATAAAATCAAGCGAGAATTATCAAGTGCAAAATCTTTAACAAGTAAAAGTAAAGATAAAATAATAGGTAACAGTACACATAAAAGAACAGTTAAAGTCTTGTTGTTCAAAACACAGAATAAATAACTTCCAGCTTCACAAAAACAAATGCTTTTAGACTTATCGATACAATATGATGTTACTTACAATTTATTTGGCCTCCGTCGGTCTTGGAGGCTGGTTCCAGTGTAAATAAACCTCCCCTGTCTTTCAAACTCCCAGCCCAGGACCGCTAAGTAGTAGCTAGTACAGTTAGCATATGCAGCAGTGTACCAGTAATCGACAGTCTGTGTTACAAGAGAAAAGGTCCATTTTGCAACAATCCTCTGAAACTTTCATCCTAGTGAGTTTGACATTGTTTTTGTTTTTTCTGTTTTATCTGACTAATGAAAAAAGACTCTTCTCAGCGACTAACAGTGAAGTTATTAGGGGGCAGCATACTGGAAATGCAGTATTAAAACATTGGACCAATGCTCTGTTAATAAAAAGTGATGAATGACTGAATGATATTTGACAGTATATTTACAGTAGGAGTGGAACTCTCAGCAGTATGATACACAGAGTGGAGCCCTCTGTTGCACCAAATAGGAACTAATTATATACTAATATAATATTGTTTCTGTCTTTTTTCCAAAAAATAAAAAAAATAAAATAGAAAATAAAATAAAAAGGAGTTTGCAGTCTAGCAACAACGTACAACTCAAGCCAGACCTCCAACAAAAAACATAGATCCACAAAACAAAAAACAAAGCGAAAACACAACACCCTAGGAAGTCTACATAGTATACACATCCTGTACCTGAACCAAATAAAAGATTATGCAGAGGTAGGTAGTGTCATCCTTTCATATCAAGCAGTTGAGCTAGGAATGGACCTCAGACTTCATTAAATAGATCTTCCCTCCCAGCTACTCTATAGGTGACCCGCTCATAGCTTGCCATTGAGCTTAGTACTTCTATCCATTCCTTAAAAGTGGACAAAGTGGGAGATTTCCAGTGGCGTAAAGTTATCCTGCACCCTGTTATCATAGCTAAACGACACCAGGATTTTCGCCGTTTTGACATTTGAACATTATCCGGTAGTAAACCCAAAAGACATAATGAGGGGTCACATGTCACAAGTCTTATCACACTCATATAACATATGCACCAGAGTTCCCACCTTTCTATTACATCTCCAGCATATATCACTGTTTCTGAGTTTTAGTCTTGCTAATTTGGAAGGAGTCCAGTAGGATCTATTTAATATCTTATAACAAATGAGTTGTGACTGCGTTTCACGTGAGTAACAGTACCATGATGCACAGTTTTTCCAATCATTTTCTGGTATCTCCTGGGCCAGGTCCCTATCCCAACATACTTTTAGACCATCCAGTTTTAGCACTTCTAATAAATTCATAGAATTTTGATGCTCCTCTGTTTTTATCTCCTACCTTATGTGATATTTCCTGAATTTCAGTTTTAGTGTGCTGAATATGTTCTTTAT